GCATGGAGCCCTGCAGCACGCTGCGTGCATGCAGCCTGCATCTCCTTGTGCACACGGAGCCCTGCAGCATGCTGTGTACATGCAGCCTGCATCTCCTTGTGTGCATGGAGCCCTGCACCGCATGTGCACGAAGTCCTGCACCACCTGGTGTGCATGGAGCCCTGCATCTCCTTGTGTGCATGGAGCCCTGCACCGCATGTGCACGGAGTCCTGCACCACCAGGTGTACATGGAGCACTGCATCTCCTTGTGTGCATGGAGCCCTGCATGCATGCAGTTCTGCATTTCCTTGTGTGCACGCCGCTCTTCATCTCCTGTGTGCATGGAGCCCTGCACTGTGCTGTGTACGCAGAGCCCTGCACCGTTCTGTGTGCATGCAGCCCTGCACCTCCTTGTGACCATGCAGCAGTGCACTGCTCTGGGTGCTTGCAGCTCTGCACAGCAGAATACCTGCAGCCCAGCGCTGTGTTGTGTGCATACAGCCCTGCCCTTCCTCGTGTGCATGGAGCGCTGCACACTGCTATTTTCTGTGGTGGGGAGGACGAGATGGCAATGCAGAGACACCCAGGGTGAGTGCTGTGCCCAGGCCTTGCCTGTCCTCCTGGGTCAGCAGCTACCAACCTTCTTGCAGTGCAAAAATATTTGGGGTTGTTCTCCTGGCCTGTACCTCTCCACTTCCTCTGGAAGGCCATAGCAGAAAACAGTGCTGCTGAGACAAGAATTGTGCTTTAGCCGAGCACTGCAAATGCAACACCCCCGAAGCAGCAGCAGCCGTGTCATTTCACAGGCTGTCCCATGCCATCTGGTCACATCAAGCCACTGGCTCTGAAAGCCAAATCCACTGCTCACCGTGAGCCATGCAGGTACAGCAGGATATAGAGGAAGCTCGGCCAGGCTGGAGGCCACTAAGGGTGTGCAGAGATGCAGAGATGCCCGTCCTGTCTCGCCCAGACTCAGGGGAAGGTACTGGCTGTTTGGGGCTGTCAGGGATTCAGGCAAGAAGCCTTGGGAAGGCAGAGCAATAATCATGGCAAGTCCAGCACGACTTACCTGTTTGGAAGCTTGTTAGACAGGCAGGCGAGGGTCCTTCTGAGTTTGGGGCTGAAAGTGGGTTTCTCCCCACCAGGAAGCCTGAACCTCAGCAGCCTGAGCTGCCTGGTTATGGAAGACCACATGCAGATCCCTCCATCTGGCTACAGACACCTGGGAGGATGGAGATGTGGTGATGGTCACACCTGGGGGACTTCCTGGCTGTGGCCTTTGCAATGCAGCATGGCTGGCTCCAGCAGATTGAGGGCCCAGGGCTACCCAAGGGGTGCAGGCAGAGCCTTCCAGCTCCCAAGCGTGCAATCCACTGGGCAAGGTGCAGCAGGCAGCCCGGCGGTCTCTGGAACACCAGGCTGCAGTGGAACAGCTGCCTCCTGGAGCTGGTTGCTCAAGGAACATCACGAACCCTCCTACCAGACATGCTCTGCCTTCTGCTACCATCTAGTGCTCAGACTGCAGGAGAGCCTCCTCCCACCCAGTGCCAGGTCCACTATGGAGATGCTCTATCATCCTTCTCCCTGTGGTGCCCATCCCATGCTGGTCATGGTCTTTGCTCGGGGTGAATGCCTCTCCCTGTTTCAGAGGATAGCTGCTGTTGGGACACACTCCCGGAGTCTCTGCTCCAACCCCTGCACAGCAGGATTGATCTGCAAAGAGCATAACGCTATTCAAGACTATGTCCAATTCAGTTGGAAGTGTCTCCAAGGTTGGAGATACTTCCATTGCTGGGACATCCATTAGACACTGCACAGAGTCCCTGCAGGGACACATCCTGAGGTCAATCAAGGACTCCAGCCAGTCCTCTGTACACAGCCTGGCTGGGGCTTAGTGCATGGCACTGGAGGCTCTCGGGAGAGCCTATCCAAGCCCTGCTCTTGAGGTGACCTTGAGCTCTGATTTTCCTCTGATATCACAGAATCACAGACTAGTAGGAGTTGGAAGGGACCTCTGCAGATCGTCTGGTGCAACTCCTCAAGCAGAGGCACCTAGAGCAGGTTGCCGAAAACCGTGTCAAGATAGGTTTTGAGTATCTCCAAGGATGGATGCTCCATAGCCCCTCTGGGCAACCTGTTCTATTCAACCACCCTCACAGCGAAAAGGTGTTTCAGTTTGTGCCCATTGCCATTCGTCCGCTCACTGAAAATCACTGAGAAAGTTCTGGCCCCGTTCTCATTTACACCCTCTCATCAGATATTTATACATACTGATAAGATCCCCACCTCAGTCTTCCCTTCTCCAGGCTGAGCAGTTCCAGCTCTCTGAGCCTGTCCTCATACGAGAGATGCTGTAGTCCCTTCATCGTCTTTGGGCCCCTTCACTGGATTCACTCCTAGAAATTCGTGTCTTTCTTGTACAGGGGAGCCCAGCACCGGGTACAGCACTCCAAGTGTGGCCCTACCAGTGCTGAGCAGAGGGGAAGGATTTCCTCCCTTGACCTGCTGTTAAAGCTCTTCCTAACGCAGCTCAGGATACTGGTGACTTTCTTCACCATGAGGGCACATCTGCTCTATATTTAACATGGTGTCTACCTGGAACTCCTTGTTCTCCTCTGCAAAATTGGATATCCTTAGGTGTAGGTCCCACAAGAGCCCTGCAATAGCAGTGTTCTGGAGCAGTGTAAGGTGCTTTCTGGCTTAGAGACTCTCCCCTGGTCTTTTTTTTCAATATTTTCCAGTTATCTCAGACCTTTTTGAACAGTTGCTGTTGGGCTCTGGACTCTGCATCTGGTAGGACAGATCATGACCATTGCTCCTAGAAGTGCAGTTTGCCTTTGGTATTGCCCTGCCCCAAAACAAAGTGAGAAATGGTTTATGGAGGCAAAAGCTCCACTTGAACAGCCTGTCCTCCTAGAGCCACCGTGTCTTGGGGAGTGGGGGCTGTAGGGGCCTTGTCCTGAAGCCTCACAGCAGGATCTGCTCTACATGCACCTTGCCTGGTCATCTAAATCAGTCCTAGAAACCCTGGGAATGCTGATATACTGTGTCCTGTAATGAGCTCTTCCCTCATTGGAATGGTTACTAGTATCTAACAGACTTTTTTTTTTTTTTTTTTTTTTTTTTGCTTCCATTTGAATTCACTGTTCTTGATTGCAGCAGAGAGATTTATTTACAACCTTGAAATCATGTTCCTGGGGAATCAAAGCATGACTGTGGGGGACAGACAGGTAGCCAACACCAGCTCCTGGCAGAAGTAGTGGGACCTTGGCATGGGGAATCACCACAGCTTGTGACTATGGACTGTAAAAATGGTGATCATCTGGGAAGAGTTCTCCTGTGTGCCAGGTCCCTTCTGAACCATCCTGTGCAGAGACACAGCTCTTTTACTTCAAATGTAACTGGATTTAATTCTCTTATGCCCGTTCCAAACAAAACCACACGAAGCTTTTTCTCTCAAAATACCTAATATTCCAGTCACAGTATCTGACACAGGGGATTTTTTCACTCTTAGTGGGAGCACATCAGAGATACAGAACAGATATTCATTAATGGAGAATGAGTTCAAGTAAGCAAATATATTTGAATGCTTTACCAGACACTGCAGAGATGCACAGAATATATGGAAATTCGAGCATATAGCTTTCTTCCTTGCTATGACTATTGGAGGTATCTCAGAGGCTTTGAAGAAAATCCCTCCTGGGCTGATTGCTTTCCTTCCACAGGGAATGTACATGTGAAATCCATAAAGTTTAAAAATGATTTTTTTTTGATTATGAATATAATAGAAAGAGATCATTAACAAGCACAAGAGAATAGAGTGGAACAGACAGCCTACCCTTGGAGACAGGAAAAGGAAAGTGGTATTTCATTAACTGCCTACTACCCCTTGGCTCCCCGCTTTGCTCCAGAAAGGCTCAAACTCCTTCACCATGCAAAGCCTTTGTGGAGTGGAAGACAGGAGTGGAGGGAGCACTAACAGTAGGAAGCTGGTTTGATGAGGATGAGAGAGGATTTGCAGTTCCCATTGCACAGGCTACCCCATGTCAGGCCACCCTTGAAATTCAGCCGTACAGAATAACATGCTGAGTACCACCATCCACCCTCATAGCTGTAGGCACAGTTCTTACTGTAAGTGTCCTGATCCTTGTCCTTTGTGGAGAACTTCATGTTGTCATGCACCTTGTTGGGATTGTCTGAGGTCATGGCATCCCCTGCCGTCCCGCTGTAGGCGCCCAGCCTCAACAGGTACCCACGGGATTCATCTTCCAGACTGAAGAGGTTGTAGTCTGCGAACTTGGGGCTGCCCGTGGCATCCTCGAGGACAAACTTGCCCTGGTAGACCTTCTGCTTGGCAATCTGATAGATGTACTCCGTGCCCAGCCAGTACTCGTTGCGCACGTTCCCAAAGCCGTACTTGTAGGTGCTCCAGGACTCGGCCCAGGTGACGGGTGTATCTTTCTTGTTCCTCTGGATGACCGTCCAACCTCCCTTCGTTACATTCATTTCACAGTACACCAGAATGTAGTGGAGTCCTGCAGGTTTGATGATGTAGATGCCACTAGGGCTACCAGCAGGGATCTCGCTGCAGTCCTTAGGCCAACCTAGGGCAGGAAACAGAGATGGTTATTACATTAGATCCCACAAAACACAGCACTGAAAGCACTTGATATTCTTTTTGTGCTTAGATCCTATTGCAGGCACATTCTTGGACTGTATTCTTGCCAGGCGTTCACAGCAGTAAACCTACACTTTGAAATAATAAAAATGAGAGTTAGGCTTCATTTCTTTCCAAGAGAGGATTCAAACTGATGGGAAAACAGAACCGAAGTGTCTTGGGCTGGTGAAACCAAGCCAGACATTGCATTCACCTAACACATGAGGTACCATGGGGACTGCCACGTACTCCTGGCCTGTGTTAGGAGGAGCGTTGCCAGCAGGTCGAGGGAGGGGATCCTGCCCCTCTGCTCGGCTCTGGGAAGGCGCTTGGAGCATTGGGGGCAGTTCTGGGCTCCTCAGGACAAGAGGGATGTGGAGCTGCTAGAGAGGGTCCAGCAGAGGCAACGAAGATGATGAAGGGACTGGAGCATCCATTGTATGAGGAAAGACTGAGCGAGTGGGGCCTGATTAGCCGGGAGAAGACTGAAAAGGGGTCTGATCAATGTGTGCAAATACCTGAGGGGAGATATAAGGAGAATGGGGCCAAACTCTTCTTGGTGGTGGCCAGCAACAGAACAAGGGGTAATGGGTACACATTGAAACACAGGCAGTTCCATCTCCATATGAGGAAGAACTGTTTTCCTGTGAGGGTCATCTCAGAAATCTGCAGAGAGTCTGGTTAAAATATTCATATAGCTCATCATGAAACCAGCCCTTATGACTTCAATGGGAATAAACCATTGGCTTTGGGTTACTCAAGTAGTTTTTTTGAGATTTGCTGATTTGTTTGGTTTGACAGCGGTCTTTCCAAGCTCCAGAGGATGACTCCTTATTACAGTAAACAGTCAAGTGCACTTATGGGAGATAACCTACTCTGCTCCCAGTGCCAGTGGCTGTTCCTACCCGGTGAAGTCATATCTTGTGATCAGATGGGCTAACACTGACTCAGGCAGTTCAATAAACTATCTGGTCGCTGTCTCACTGAATCCACTCATTCACTGTGTAGTAAAAATAGGAAAATAGCCAGTCATCAATTTCCAAATTCAAATAATGAACTTCCACTTTTCACTTCGGATTTTCAGATGAAAAATTCCTCATGCTAAAGATCCCCCTCACCTACTGCATCTTAGCATGCTTGGTGCTAGAGTCCCTCAGAGGTGATACCTTGTGGCACATCCACAGCCTAAAAGAAAATCAGTGGTTTTCCTGGGAGTACCCAGGCACATGGAGAGCATAGGCTGATGTGCTTGTGAGTTCTTCATGAGCTTTTAGGCTTCCAGCAATGGTGAGGCCTTCTGAGCTGATATACTCATCGGAGAGAGACTTACCATGGGCCGCTGGTGGGCGGGGGGCAGTGTCTCTGACCTGTCGAACATGGTTGTCACCCTCATCTGAATTGACAAGAACAGAGGAGACAGGAGTGAGTGCTCAGAGCAGCCATGTCAAATACCTGATAGGGGAAAGTGATATTTTCTGGTTGCTATTCCTCTACACTTCTCTTTTCCCACTGTTTCTCCAAACTTGATGTTTTCAAGATATCAGCCAGTTGGTTGTTTAGGGGAATTTACATAACGTTAGGATGGGGCAAATGCTTCCTTTCATGAGAAGAGTTTGGGCATCCTCTGTGTGGGAAGGATGCCAAATGGTGGCAGCAGCTCTGGAAAGACAGTTTACTAGATTAAAGTAGAAGCAGGTAGGAAAGGACTCAGGAAGAATGGGGACTAAAGGGGGAAGAGATTTGAGAGTAGACATGGGAAAATTAGTCTAGGTATCTGGAGCTGGGAAGAGGGGCTCCACTCAAGAGGCTTGTAAGGGGAATCAAAGGGTGTTTCTAGAAAAGGAAGTAGTTTAGAATTGATTTATATGATTCTTGATACTCACAGTTAAAAATCACTGGAATGGGTTGCAGTCCATTAGTCCCCAAGACTAACACAGATGCCTAACCCTGCAGTAGCTCCTTCCTAACATCCCCAAACCTACACTCCACTCTACTCTCAGCTGGTGCTTATCCCTCCCCTTAAGATTTTCCTGTGTGCTTATCCTGTTTCTTGCATTATGTACAAGCCCATTCCTGCAAAAGCAAGAGTATATGGATAACACTTTGCTCCTTCTTTTTCTGCAGCCAGACAGTAATATTGCTATCATATCCTCCTCCGTAGTTTTCCAATTTCAGGGCTAATCTATCCAGTTCCTCAACCTTTCCTGATACAGGGTTTTTTGTTTGTTTGTTTTTTTGTTTCTGACAGATTTTTAACTCCGTTCCTTAGATGGTTTCCAAATATGCTACACAGCAAATGTGGTAGTTGGCCTGTGCCTGTATGGAGTTGGAAACACTCTTGTAATGTGGTCTAGAGGACTCAGGCAGGATGGTATTTGCTTTTATTGTACCAATATGAAGCTGTTCACTCATGCTCATTTTGTGAGGCAGTCCATCCCTGCTCCTGTCTGCAGAACTGTAGGTTGACCTCCCTGCTCCTGGTTTCCATGTGTGCTGTTGACCATTCCAGTGAGAAGCCTTCACTTCCCATCTGTTTGGAACCCCTCCTCCACAAGTCAAGAGTTTCAAATGTTAACTGGTCTTCCCTAACTTTGCTGTCTGCATGCTCATCTTAACTTCACTGCTAGTATTTTCAGAACACTCTATCAGTGGTCTAGGCAAGAAATGAGAGTGAAACCCGGAGCACACTCTCTTTCTTTATTCAAACTTGACTAAAATTCTTGGGGAAGTCCAAGCTTTTGTCTCAGTCATAGGTGCTCCCTATCTTGGCTGCTTGCTGGCAGCTGGCCTTTGCAGTGAAGATTGACAAAACCAACAAGGACAACAAAGCTTTGAATGCTTGGACCTTGACTTTTGCCAACAAGAACCCTTTCTCTTCATGTTATAGGGGACTAGCTCTTCCAGGGGCCCCCATTTCAATTTCAGAGCATTTCTGGGAGGCTTCCTCATTGCTCCAGTGTTTCTAGTTGTAGATTGTTCTGTACACCCATCTGTCTGATCTGGCCTACATCAGGGCCCCTCTTTCAGACTCTTTGTAGTAACTTAGCTCCTCTTTGTGTTCAGTTCTGTCTTGAGTTCAGCTTCCTACCGACTTTGTGATTTCTACACCTGGCTACTGATTCCTGCTCTCAAAACACAAAACTTTAACATCTTTAGCACTACTGCTTTGGAACAGCCTGTTCCAAAGAGTTTAGAGTGGGGTGAAGACCTGTGTAGGATATAATTGAACATGACATTGTTTGCCTCTCTCTGTCACAGTGGAATACATACCAAGAGGGAAGGACCCTGTGAGGATGTTTGTAACTTCATCCAAAGTGCCATTGAGGAGGTGCATGTTTCTTATGTCAATGGCAAGAAGAGGAGCTGCCAGAGCCAGCAGGCAGGTCAGAAGGAGGAGACAAGAATGCTGGAGAGCTGAAAAGTGAAAAGATGGAGAAAAACAGAGTCTGACATTAGAAATCCATGAATCTTATTTGAATTCTTTAGTTATAGAGTTATAAAAGTCCCACAAGAAATTAGAAGTTCAAATTCACTCAAATGAGTTGTCAAGTATTAATCTAGAGGAGGAATCAGTAGTGGCAACTGCTGTTGATGATTTCTGAGGCAGAAAAAAAAATATATGAAAATTTTGTCCAAAAGCAAAGTTACCGTAACTAGGAAACTCTGGGAGAACCTAGGGGGTCTTGGTGCTGGAGATGACAAGCTGGTTGAATATGGAAGGAGGAGTCCTGTTTTCTCCCAGCTCCCATCGTGTTCCCATGTCACGCTCTTGTGGTCTCTGGGGGGAGCCAGGAGCACATATGTCTCCAGCCCAGGTCTTGAGGGCAGTGAGAACCCACATGAGCAGGTGGGGAGGTCCAGGCAGAAATGTGTGTCTGTGTTTGGGCCCTGCATGTAGGCTGCGTGACTGAGAGGGGTCACATCATATGAATTATTACCTGGCTGGAGCCAGCGTGGTTTCATGTGGTCGTCATATGACTACTTCAAAATGTCCCTATGTCCCCGTAACTAGCTGCTCTAATTTGTTCTTGTTCAGGACAGTTAGATAGAATAGTCCACTTTTTGTAATATTAAACCTAAATACAAATTTCAATACTAGATCAAAATTAAATCATAGAAGGTCTATCATGGTTCCAGAGAGTGGAACCTGGTGCTCACCAGGTTGCCCATGGGGAAACCTGTTCCGCCATGTGATAGATGAGCCACCAGATTACTAATGCGATCCCACTTCTGTTTGCAAGGAGTCAAACCCTGCACTGCCCTGGGATAGCTGGTTTTGTCAGGGTTCCTAGAAATGATTGAGGAGGAAAATGATCAGCCTGGACCTGTCAACTGAGAGGCGTCGTATGTTATTGCAGTCCTCACAGGGTCGAGCACTCCTTTCTGGGAATGCTTGGTATTACTGTAACCATTTGTGCTGGTTACAGTTTTACAGCAAAGTGCCTTTAACCACAATTCAGTCATATTGAACCCTTTTTCAACTTCTGTGTAACATTCAGTCTCTTGACCTATTGTAAGATTCAGTATATCTTCAATATTGCTGCTTGAGCAAGAATGTATTTTTTAAAAATTCTTTTCTGTGCCAGGATATTTAATACTTTATTGGAAAGCTGAAAATTGCAAAGAACTTTAGATAAATGTAAGATTTATAATATCAGCCGTCTGGCACTTCAGGTCTACACCTATCTAACCTCCAAATAGCATAATGTGCATCTCCTGCTGCCTTTCCTCACCCAGGGGACAGAGAACCCCCATCAAACCAATCGTTGAGATGGACAGGAGCATGGCAAGAAAGCAACCCAGGAGAAGACAAAGTGCTGGGACGCTGTGTGACCTGTAGCCACATGTAGCGGGCACAGAGCGGCGCGGTGACTCCCCGACCCGGCCCACCAGCCCACACTCACCCATGGTGTCTCCACCAGGACCTGCCGATCGGGAGGCTGGGCAGATTTGGCCTGGGTAGGGGACTGGCCAGACCTGCAGTTATATGACTTGGGAAGTGGGGTTGGAGTGGGGCACGAGACCCAAACCGCAGCACTTGTCCTGTAGTTGGCAACAGCACTGGTGGTTTATGGCTTATTTGCTCTTCACCATTAAGTAATATGTCCTCAGACAAAGACGACCGTGTTTCACAAAGGTGAAGAGCTTTCTTTAGAGTCAAAGCAAATAATTAAGTATAAATAAGATGATGTCTTGAAACAGCTCTTATTTACAGTGCTGGCTCCTCCAGTGGGGTTTCCCCAGGGAACAGCATTCTCTGGGAACTTGTGAACATTTCGACTTGCTAAGTAAATATGCAGCTAGCATTCAACCTCCCGGGTGGAAATCAGACATCAAAGGGAAAAACACCCTCTTCAGAGCATGTATTGAGGCAAAGAGTCACTGGGGACTCTCCAGTACCCTCAGGAAAGCACTCAAGGTGCTCAAATGTTCCTGGCAGACTGTGCGTTTTTTATCTAAGAACCAAACTTCAGAGAGTGCCACTCCAGGTGCCTCCCCGCTGCTGTGCCTGGCCTGCCGTAGCCACACTGCCTCTTGCACAAGGCATGCTGTCACCTCCCACCTCACACCACAGTTCCTGTGCCTGTGACAAGCACGAGAGAAACCGTGACACTGAGTAAAATGGTCTCAGGTCAAGATTCTGCCTGCAAGCAGGAAGACTTACACCATATATTTCTTAAAATGCCAAGCTGTTGTACATGTTGAGACTTCCAGTGTACCAAGAGTAACGATCACATTTGCCCCCTAGCATCCACTGCCTGCTGAGCAGCACCTGATGGGCAGTATCTCCAGAAGGGCAGGTTGGGCTTTAGACTCTGGCCACAACTATCGTGTGGCTCCTGCAGCATGAAGACACACATATGTCCCCTGCCATGCCATTGCCCTTACTAAACAGGGGCTGCAAGTAAAGGTTTGCAGAACCCCTTGGCAGAACCCCGAAAGCAGCTCGCAGTCCCAGACTGCTTTTTTCAGAAGGATACATTAGGATCTGCAAAGCAGGCAAGGGAAAGGCCAGAGAGGGAATTTCTCTGAAACTCCAGTCGTGTCTTGGGGCCCGATTCCCAGATCCTGTTTAGTATGTGTCTTGTACTGACAGAACCAGGAGTGGCCACAAATCTGTGGGGTTCTGTTTGTTTGTTTGTTTTTGTTTTGTTTTATTCTTTTGCTGTGTCCTGGACTATATTCGTAAGCCCAGGGATAAGGGAAGAGTTTATTCACTTCTACTCAGTAACTGTGAGCCTGCACCTGGAGCACTGGGTCCTCTTTGGGGCTCCCAACTGCAAGACAGATATTAACACGTCGGAGTGAGTCTAGTAGAGGCCATAAAGATGGTTGGGGCTGGAGCACATGCCATACGTGGTCAGACTGAGCAAGCTGCATTTGTTCAGCCTGCAGAAGAGAATGCTGAGGCGAGGGATCTTGTTGCTGCCAACAATTACCTGGTGGGAGGATAAAGAAGAGATGAAGCCAGTCTCTCCTCAGGGTCTCACAGGGACAAAAGAAGAGGTGACAGACACAGGTTGTAACATGGGAGCCAGACTCTGGAACACTGTGTCCAGTTTTGACTCCTCATTGCAAAAAACATATTGACAGACCGGAGTGAGTCCAGGGGAGCCCACCAACTGGTCGAGGGGCTGGAGCACAGGATATATAGGGAGAGACTAAAAGAACTGAGTCTGTACAGACTGGAAAGAGAAGGCAAATGGAAAACCACAGAGATGTTTACAATTATCTCATGGGAGGATATAGAGAAGATGGAACCAGACTGTTCTCAGGGGTTCATAATGTTGAGAATCAATGGCTCCAAGCTGGAACACGGAAAATTCTCATTAGATATAAGGACTTCTTTAAACTGACTTGACATTTACCTTCTGAACACACTAGGTCCTCTTCTCCAGGATCTAACAGGAGACAAGGACTCAGTAGCCTGGGCCATTTTAGCTACATAAAGGGAACGTATCAGGGCTATCCGGCTGAGTAATGATTCTTGAGAGGATGGTGAGGGAAAGGTCAACTTCTCTTCCCATAAGTATTCTCTCTGCTATGCAGAGTGGAGCTATGGATGCTGAAATCTTCCATGGGCTCGTAAAGCATTCCGAGAAATTCAGGGAAGCAATGCTCAGCCTCCATTGCTAAGAGCAAAGTCAATGTCACCCAGTTTGGGAGGTATCCTATATTGTTGAGGAAATGTCAGTCCATATGTCTCTATACTCCTTCTCAAGCACCCCTGTCTGCACATGGATAAGACTCAGGGTCACAGAGCCCATGAATCAGTCCCAGCCCTGCAAGGAGAACTGCTGCAGAGAGCAAGTGTGTTCCCAGCAGGAGGAGAAGGAGCCTGGCTCAGTCTGCCACAGTCTCCAGGCCTTTGCATGGATTTGGATGGTGACAGAGGAGGTTGGAATTGCTATTGCCATGACTTGCCCAAACTAAATGAAGTTGGGGACAACAGGATCTGTTCGGGTTCCTAATCTCTAATCAAGAAAGGAGAAAAATCTAAGTGTGCAAATGGAGATTGCTAGAGGGAGCCCTGACCTCATAGAGTGCAGGACGCCAATGTCCATCCAGATATGCAAATCATCCTGCTTGACATGGGCTCCTTCACTATGGTGGTATCCATATCATTTGGTGGAAGTCTCAGCTAGAAGCTGACTTGATGTGAACAACAGGAATAAAGACAATCCCCGGCTATTCAGTGAGGGAAATGTTCCTGTGCTATAAGCTACTGAAACCAGTACTTGGTCATCAGAAGCTGAAGGCAGATGGGCCACAACTTAATCCTCTTAAACTTGCCTTGGAAAAGCTATCAAGCCATCTCACTTTTTGGTACCTAAAGTAGCCCTCCCAAACAAGCTGTCCTGAATGCATTCTGCTCTTGTATAGGAAGCAACCACAGGCAAACAGTGCTGGGGCTGGCGGGCCTTACCTGGCCAAAGACGGAGGCTGGGAAGCAGAATGGCACAGGGGCTTTCAGGCACCTGCTTGCCACTGGAGCCCTTGACCTCTGCTCAGAGCATGCAGATTGGGGTGCCAGGGGTCACCTGCTTGTGCATTAAGTTCTGGGCTGTTGGACACTGGCACCAGCCCAAAGATTTAAATCACAGATCCTGAATCCTGCCAGTGGGGAGTTACCAAACAGGCAGGTCTCTTGAGGACCTTCCTCATCTTTGCTAAGGTCACTTTTGGGGCTTGATTGGAGACTTAATCTCCCCTTCCTTGCTAGTTTCTGTGTGCATGTCCTTAAAATCTGGGTCCCTCCACTTCTGTTTGATTGTGGCACTTTGGAAATTGCTCCGAGTGGGTGATTCATGTGTAGTGTTTATATAGCTGTAAGAGTCAGCTGAAATCCCTCGTCATAGGTGTAGGGGGGTTGTTTTAAGATTGTTTTGTGTTTCATTTCTCTGGCTAGCATGAGATGCCCCTTTCCCCCAAAAAGGGTTTAGTTGGGCTGTCATGGGACCTGAGAACTGCTCAAGAGTCACAGGCTGCAAGTGTCTCCTTGTACCTTTACAAATGCCAAGACTGACCATAAGTGGGTGTGTGCAGTGCCTATAAAGTCTCTGTGCAAAGCTTGCACGGGAGGGAGCACCACGGGATTCCTGCTCTCTGTCCAGCAGTGCTGTTGTGATGGGTGAGTTCTCTTCCCAACAGCGTGCTGTGCTTGTGTGTGGTGCTGGGCTCAGATCAGAACTGCTGGGGTGAGTATACAAAGACTCAAGATGAGTGAGAGGACAGTGACCTGATCTTGCCTGGATGATGGACACTGCTAGGCACCCTTGTAGGAGAAGGGACATGAGAGCAAAGCACTGAACAAGATACAGCACTGCTGCAAGCTTATGCTTTCCCCAGGCTGCTGTGCCCTCTGTTCCCCTGTCCTGTCAAGGGAGGGTAACGTGGAGCCCTACATCTCAGCTTTGTCCTTTCCCTTGTGGTTGCACAGGGGTCCTTCCCAGGCGTGACGGCATCACTTCCAGTGCTTGAGTTGGCGCAGGGCATAGTCGTGTGCTTGGGAGAGAGGAGAGTGTGGTCATGCCTGTGTCAGGGTGTGAATCCAGGCAGATTCCTTCTCTTTGCTTGGGATATGGTACCGGACCCATAGGTTCCATCCTCTGCTTCTGGTTTCCCACTGTCTGTCCTTGGGTTGGAGGGACTTATGTAAAAGGCTTAAGAATGAGCGCAAAATGATTTTTTTTTCCTCAGGCAAACTCCTCCCCTCAGATCTAGCACTGTCATTCTCCTTTCTAGTCCATCTCGGGCTGTTATTTCCAAGAACAGACCTGTGGGGAAGGGGCAGGTCAGAAGGGCAACAAAGCTGTTACTCCGCTTAGCCTGGTAGAGGCAGACCCAGGAGCCCTGTTTCCCTGCTCAGAGCTCCCTTGGGCCTGCTGGCAGTGCCTGGAGGGGCAGGGACCACCTTGGCTCCCAAGGAATCCTCACAGTGTTGTGTCTTTTCCTCCCTAGGACTCCAGGCTGGGATGACCCTGCATCATGGGGGCATTACCCTTCTGTCCATGGTGGTGATGCTTCTCTGCGTGAGCGCTGGCCCAGCAGTGCCCACCGCAAGCCCCCGGAGTGGTAAGTATGGGTCAGGTGGGGGGGACATTGGGCACCAAGGTGCACAACAGCAAAGACACTCCTTGGCTCAGCACTGATCCCAGGGCTTGCCAGCTGCCAGCACACAACCAGGCTGGTGCAAACACAGGAACTCCACAAACACAGGGACTTCTCCCTCCTGGGCCTTGGTCTGTGAGGTAAACCATCCAACACCTGCTGAGCCGTCTTCCCCCTGGCACCCTTGGTGGCTCCAGACTGAAACCAGAGTTTTTGCCCATATGCTGTAATTCAGTGAGTTTGCAATGAGTGAGTATTATACTATGATTCTGGGATTCTGTGTGATCTGAGCAGAGATGCTCCCAAGGGAGCAAAAAGAGCTCTTTTTGGGTTAAAAGTCTTCCCTTCCTCCTCTCAGGAAGGGTAATGCTTGCTGCAAGGGCTTTGTGTCCAAGAAAATCTGGATTTCATAGTGTTGAATCTGAAGTACACGTTGTAAAATGTTCCTTAGAAGATATGGAACAAAAATTAAAAAATTAGACAGCAAATTAGTTTGCCAAGTTAGTCAAGACACAGATTGGCCTTGCTAAAGATGAACTGTAACAAGCCATGGAAAGAGACCTCTATAGATGAGGGTAGAGCTTAGTTTTCTTTTTCAATGCCATAATTTCCAGGGAAAAAAGTAAGTTTTTCTTACACATCTTCATCCAGTAGAGCATTTTGGACATGTACCGTCCTCACAAGAGCAGTACCTCAATATGCCAAGGGCTCTATGTATGGCAGCTATGCTTAGAGCTCATCAGGATCTGGAGGATGTTTTTTTCTCTCCTTTCTTGGCTAGATATGCCAGAAAGCTCCAAATAAAAACAGCAAGTCATGAGAAATAGAGCCCAGAGCTCCTACCATGGCCACTGTGTTAGAGGACAGGTCTAATTGTTACTCCCAGTGGAGGAGCCTAAGCAAGGTAGATGACATATAAAAATAACCCTTCTTGCTCTGAGACCTCACAGCCCATCTGGGAGCTTTTTGTTACCCTGACTGGCTCATACGGCTCTTCTCCCCTTCCCCCTGGTCCTGTATCTGCCAAAATTGCTGTTGCAGGGTTCCCTGCAGACTGCAGCCACCTCCGCAAGAACAGCCCCAGTGGGGTCTATGTCATCCAGCCAGCAAAGGCTCCCCCGCGGGTGGTTTGGTGCGACATGGACACCGAAGGCAAGGGCTGGACTGTCGTCCAGAGAAACTCTCATGACACTGAGATCACGTGGAAGGAGTCCTGGACCACCTACAAGTACGGCTTTGGGAACGTGAAGGCAGATTACTGGCTGGGCACCGAGTACCTGCACCTGCTCACGCAGCAGAACACCTACAAGGTCCGCTTCGTCGTGCAGAATAAGGCCAATGTCACCCACTACGCTGAGTACGACATCTTCAGCGTGGAGAGTGAGGCCAGCGGGTACCCTCTGAGGCTGGGCAGGTTCTCTGGTGAGGGCGAGGACTACCTGACCACCTACCACACCAAGAATGGGGGCATACATGACAACATGAAGTTCACCACTCATGACAGGGACCAGGACCAGGCCAGAGGGAACTGCGCCAACAGCTATGGGGGGTGGTGGTATGATAATTGTCAAAATATCCTGCTCAATGCCAAAAACTACATCTTATGGCCAGGATTCTGCAAAAGTGGTGACTGCACATCTTCCCTCATCCTGGTGAAACCCACAGATGTGTGCTGAGCGGGCTGGAGAGCCTCCTGGGAGCTTGGCCACCACCCCCAACACGGTGCCCCATTCCAGTGCCAGCACCAGTGTCCAGCGCCAGCACTGGGACAGCTCTTGCCCTACCTGCAGCTCCCGCGGTGTCACCGGAGTGAAACACGGCAGCTCTGGGGCTCACGCGGCTGTCGCCCTGTCTGCAGCCTTTCCCAGTGCCCCGATGGTGCCAGCACTGGAATCCAAGCACTGCTCTGGGGTGGGTGCCCCACTCCTCGTCTGGGGGAAGGGAAGCCAGCGCAAGTCCCCTTCCCTGCGCAATCCTAACGTTCCCTGCTTTCGCTCAGGCCCTGCTTCTTCCCCAAGCCCTATAAACCCGACAACTCTGCTGGACGCGGTGGGAGAAATCAGCTGTAATAAACTCTGGAGCCAGACTCTTCTGCCTTTGTGTCTATCTGCTGTGGTGACACTGTGCATGCGTGCAGGAAAGATGGTTCTCCTCAGTCCCAGGCATAATGGAGCTGGTGGAGGGTGGGTGTATTATGCATGTGTGTTCACAAAGAGCCCCTTTAGCCATCTCTCCTGCCCAGCCCTGTCCAAGAATATTAGATCTGCCTTCAACATGACAATCTCTGGCAGTGCTGGGCTAGTGCAGAGCTGTGGAGTTGATTCTTCACTCAAACGGAGCTGGTGTAGAACTGGGTGCAGTGAAGGGGTTTTGTGCTGGTGTTTCTTCTTTTCCAAAATATTTGCAAGCTCCACATTGAAAGACCTAATGCAGATTGTCCCCTGATAGTGACTGTCCCAAGCAGCCTGTAAGAGGAGCTTTCTCCCTTTAGTGTGGTTGTGGCACATAGCTACCTAATTCTGTCTGGTGCCCCTAATTCTGTCAGGTCTCTGGCAGCAGTACTGCTTCCAATGGCTTGTCCTAGCCACGGTGCACTGAACTGTGTCCCTCGGGTTATGATTAGCTAGCGCGGCCAGGAAAACACCCTGGTCACTCACAAAACCCTCACCTGCAGTCTGCACCTGAGTGGGTGGTTGCTCTGTGCCCTGCAAGGAGGGTCCCCACACACAGTGGTGTGCAGAGGAGGAGGTGGGCGACCTGAACGGCACGAGGGAAGGCTCTTGGTGCACAGGAGTCAGTCCCATTGTACGTGGCTACAGATCACCCTTGGGATGGAGGGAAGTTTGAGCTTAGGACTTGATAGAAGCCATTGTTCTCTGTTTTTGTAAGAAAAGCTGAGTTCTAGGAAGGTTTGTGGGTGTAAATCCTTAGCAATCTTGGACTTGCAGGCCAGGATCCATGGCCATGACCCCAGGGTTCTCTTCAGAGCAATAGCAGTGCCATTCCTGGGTGGAGTAGCAAGGCTAGTCTCTAAAGCCCTGCACAGGTGTCCTAAGATAGAATGAAGTCACCCATGGGCTAATATATGGGGAGATAAATATATGAGGGTGGCACTGGATAACAAATCTTCCCAGTTTCAGCTGACCAGAATAGCATTTCTGGTACCTGTAATGTGTCTGTTGGTTTAAAAATTAATTTCCAGTTCAACTGGATGTACAAGCTAACTAGGGGATTAGCTTTGAAGAAAAAGGTATGGGGCTCCTAGTGAATGACAATTTGCCTTGGCTCAGCAGTGTGCCCTTGCAGCATTGAAGGTGAACAACACGCTAGGCAGTATTGAAAGAGTGCAGCTGAGAGATGATTTCACTCTTCTTGGCACTGGTGAGACCAAATTGGAGGTAAAATGCAAGGGAGATGTTAGCAAACACTCTCCTCTCAGTTATCCTCAGTGGACCCTGACAAGGCTGGGGCCAACATTGAAAAGTGTAACATGCAGGATGGTGCTGATCTGGCCTGGCAGCCCTGGTTAACTGCACATCATGGCTAGCACGTGTGAGCTGATGCTTCCCTCCTACCCTCAGCCCTTGCTCTTGACCATGTGTTCCAGCACCCCCTCTTTGAAAGATCTCCACCTTGAAACCCAACTCTCCTACTTAAGTGGAATTTTTGTCTTGAATTTTCCATTTCAGTCTTTATTAAAAAAATTCCTTTAAGAGTCTTGTTCCTACACAAGGACCCCAGGATTAACTCCTGGGGAGAAGCCAGCAGCAATCTGGGGCAGTTCTCTTGCAAATGACATAGATTTTCACATCCCTATGCAGGTTCTGAAAAGCAATTTTATTCTGTAGCATGACTACTAACTACAGCAGAGATATGATGCATGCAAGGTCTGCCTGCGCTCAGAGCTGGTCAAGTTCTCGGCTAGGGATGATGGATATTTTTCTGCTGAAGCCATGGGATATTCTTTCATGCCCTTAAAGAAGAGGTGAATGGAGCTAACTGGATCAGGAGGGCTTCTGTTTTCTGATGACTGTTCTCAACAGAAGGAGCACACTTGGAAACTTCAATGTTTCTGAAGTCTTGTTCTACTAATGATCCATAAAAACCCAGCATAGGTGAAAGGTTTTGTCTCTACAAAGCAGGGAGCTTTGCTATTTCATGGACTGGAAGATTGGGGGTGAATGGGGATAACCTTGCTATCAGGAGCTGTTTTCTTCTCTCATTCTGGAAAGAGGGGCCCAGGAGAGCCCTGGTCTGGCTATCTGCCCAGTGCAGAACAGCAGGAGAAGCAGTGCTAATGGTAAAGAGCTGGTTTGATGAGGATGAGAGAGGATTTGCAGCTCCCAGTGCACAGGCTACCCCATGTCAGGCCACCCTTGAAATTCAGCCGTACAGAATAACACGCTGAGTACCACCATCCACCCTCATAGCTGTAGGCACAATTCCGTCTGTAAGTGTCCTGATCTCGATCTTTTGCAGAGAACTTCATGTTGTTGTGCACATTTTTGGGATTTTCTGAGGTCATGGCATCCCCTGCCGTCCCGGTGTAGGAGCCCAGTCTCAACCGGTAGCCATGAGATTCATCTTCCAGACTGAAGAGGTTGTAATCTGCGAACTTGGGGCTGCCTGTGGCATCCTCGATGACAAACTTGGCCTGGTAGACCTTCTGCTTGGCAATCTGATAGATGTACTCCGTGCCCAGCCAGTAGTCACTCTGCACGTCCCCAAAGCCGTACTTGTAGGTGCTCCAGGACTCGGCCCAGGTGATCGCTGTGTTATGCCGGTTCCTCTGGATGACCGTCCAGCCCCCGTCGGTCACATTCATTTCACAGTACACCACAAGTGGGTGAAGTCCCGTGGGCTGGATGATGTAGACACCACTGGGTCTGCCAGTGGGAATCTCGCTGCAGTCCTTGGGCCAACCTAGGATAGCAGAGAGCACAATGTGACATGACTCTGTGTAACAGGACCTTACCCCGCCTTGCCTTGTGGCAGGACAGATGGATACCTGCACAAAGTTCCCTAGAGGTGCTCAGTTGTCACATTTCAGAGAGGTCGACAGGACTGGCTGTCTGGCCTTGCCTGGGAGTGACAGAGGGTTGACCTCAGCAACCTACTCCTCTTGCAGAGGACACCTAACAGGAGGCTTCCCCAGAGAAAGGCCTACTGGGCCATACTAGTATCAGGCCAGGAGAGTGGTGTTAGAACAGGCAGGCTCCTCTGCTGCCTCCTGAAACAGGGGCTGTGTCACTAAAACAGGGTCTGCTGGGGAGGCACGTGGAGATTCTCTTGCCCCAACTGTGAGTGAAGGAACAAGAGCGCCATACCTCCTGCCCCCACACATTTACCCACACATATGCACATGCTCTGCATCGTCTAGAGCCCTCACATACACCATCCTCCACCCTGGAGCAGGTCAAGGGCCTGAATAATTGTACGGTCCTTCTCTACCTGGAGCCTTCTGCAGTGGGCACACAACACCCGTACCCTCACCGCGCTGGTCTCCTCAGGCCTTCCACTTGTATTTGGGGACGCACTGCACCCTTCCACTGCAGCTAGTGTAATCCAGCCAGCCGGGCCCTGCTCCTGTCCCCAGAGGAGCAGAGCTCGGGGCTGGTGCTGCCTCTCCCCAGCCCACTTTTGTCACTAAAACAGGGTCTGCTGGGGAGGCACGTGGAGATTCTCTTGCCCCAACTGTGAGTGAAGGAACAAGAGCGCCATACCTCCTTCCCCACACATTTACCCACACATATGCACATGCTCTGCATCGTCTAGAGCCCTCACATACACCATCCTCCACTCTGGAGCAGGTCAAGGGCCTGAATAATTGTACGGTCCTTCTCTACCTGGAGCCTTCTGCAGTGGGCACACAACACCCGTACCCTCACCGCGCTGGTCTCCTCATGCCTTCTGCTTGTATTTGGGGACGCACTGCACCCTCCCACTGCAGCTGGTGTAATCCAGCTAGCCGGGCCCTGCTCCTGTCCCCAGAAGAGCAGAGCTCGGGGCTGGTGCCTCCTCTCCCCAGCCCACTTGCCTGTATATCAAGGAGGTGTTTTTCAGACCTGAGGCCACATCACACAGGCTCCCACAGGCAGCTCTTTCAGAAGGCCCCACCAGTCCAGTGCACTGGCTGGAGCTGTACACCAGCCAGGCTGACCCACACCATGGAAAACAAAAGGGGTTAGTGATGAGGGTGCTGAGACACCCGCTGGATGCTACGTACTGTTTTTCTTCAGAGCGCTCACCGAAGTATTGGAAGGAGGTTTCTTGAAGATCTGTAAGATTTGCATATTCATGGCGGAGCATAGAGTGGCCAAGACCAGCACACAAGCAAGGAGTAGAAGGCCCTGGGCTGCTAGAAATGGAGACTCTGAGTTGCAGAGCCTGCCAAGAGACTTGGGATCATTTGCTCAAGGGCTGGACATCTTTGCCTTTTCCCCTTGTTCAGCCCCCCAAAAGCCATGTGTGAGATGGCACAGGATGAAGAACAGCACCTGAGAGCTGTCTGAGCCAGATTCTCACAGGGAAACGCTTCTGCAGAACAAGAAATAGGGGATTGGCTGGGATGAGCCAAAAGACAGGGCACAAGGTGCTGATGTTGGAGGAGGTAGCAGGGGAGCGCTGCCCTCAGCAGGCACATCACCCATCAGCGTGTGGAGAAGACAGCACAGCCTCTCCACACTGCTGGACTGCCCTGCCCACCCCATTCCCAGCAAGAAGCGCCCCGGTTCCCAAGCCTGCACTCACCCATGGTGTCTATGAAGGAATGACCTCTGAAGCTCAAAGCTGCAGAGAAGCAGATCCCACGGAGGCATTTATAGCTCCCACTGCAGTGGGAGGAGTGAACAGGTTCCCCCCCATCTCAGCTTCCTTTCTCATGGGGAAGGAATCAGGCTGGAATTCCTTTGCGTCCTTAGAAAACACGACTTGAAACAAAGTAGGTGCATATCTTCCTGGAATGCAAAGAAAACAATGCCCATGCCAGCAGCAGTCCTTGGAGTGTTCTCTGCTGGGAGTGCTTGGCTCCTTGGGTGAATTTGCCCTGGGAACAGCATCTCTGGGAGCTTTGAAGAGTGCGACTCAGTAAATAAACACTTGTAGGGCAGTCACCATCCAGTGTGGAAAGCAAACACTGAGATGCCTCCCTCTTCCCCATTCCCCCTGTGCTGTTACAACAGAGGTGTGCCAGGTCAAGGGGCTCTTGCTTCATGTGCTTTCAGGAAGCCCAGCACAGCTCCTGGTGAGGGAGTCCAAGCAGCTCTGACTGTCCTACAGGTCGCTCTCTGGAGTCTGCTGTGTGCATTTTGAGGGACTGCTGGGGTCCGGGCTACATGGTAGTAGGCAGAGGGGTCTGATGGAGGTGATCTCCATTTGGGGAAGCAGATGGAGTTTGTATCCACCTGTGGGCCATGGTTTGCCCTCCAGTGCACCATAGAGCTCTCCATTGCCTTCTGATGCGCTCCAAAGCCCTCTTTTTGCCTTTTCTCCAGTCAGGACTCGTGCATTTTTATTTGTGTTTTAGTGATCTGCAGAACCTCTCTTTACCTTCTTGGGCACCCCAGAGCCATCCAGTTAGCTCTTGGTACACCCCATGGCTTTCCAGTTGTCTTTCAGAGTGCTCCAGAGCCCTCTCACTGCCATTTGGGCCTTTCAGAATCCCTCTCTTTGCCCTCCAATGTGGGCAAGACCCTCTGCTCAATCTCCAGCCCTCTCAGAATCCCTCTGCATGCTGTCGCATGCCCCCCAGAAACCCTTCTTTGCACTGGTGCCTTTCATTGCATGCTAGAGGTCTCCAATAGGATATTGCTCTCCTCTGGATCTCTTGAAAGAGCCATCTCCTCCTGTGCACCTACCACTTGATGTGTATTATCAGAGTCCTCCCTCCATGCCTGTCTGTTTCATCAATGCAGGAAATTCTTCCAGCCTAAACTCAGACTTCCTTCCCCGTTTGTGGCAGCTTCACAAAAGCAGAACAGGTACACGATATACACTCACGTAATTATCAAATTGTATTTGATTGCAGGAGAGACTATGGAATTGCCTACTAAGAGATGCCCATAATAACTCCCGGCTCCTGGCACTGCCGGCTGCTGCTTACATGAGACAAAACAAAGAAAACTGGAACACAGTGTGGAATCGAGACCAGATGAGAGATCACTGTGGGAGAAATTTTCACAGTCCTTGATGCAGCAAGTGTCTGTCTCCAGGGCAATGCTACTGAGGTTCCTGAAGAGGTCTTCTAAACACATCCCATCTCATGAGTGGGAGGATTGTTAAGAATCGTTCTCGTAGTTTCTCCTTTGCACAGGAGGAAGCTATGCTTTAGAACATGGATTTGCTGCCATGTGTCACAGGGAAAGGGCATCACAGCTACTCACACCCAGGACTGGTGCAGGAGAGTAAAGCCAGGGCGTGCAGACACATCTGCCAGGGTTGTAACACAGAGCAGCGCCCTGCGCCCCAGGGTGCGCTGTGCCCGGGACGGCTGCCCTGCTGCCTGTGCGGGTCCGTGCTCAGCCTCCCCGGGGAGATCCCAGAGCACCGTGGGGAGAACGTCTGAGCGAGAGGAGCAGCCCCCTGAGGGCAGCCTCGTTCTCCTGCTGAGAGGCTGCTGCGTGGGTCAGCGTTGCCCACAGCTCCCCCTCACCATGAGGAGATTTTGAGAGCAGAGGTTTTAAGAGGACTTGTCTCTGCATGATGGAAATGAAAATGCAGCAGATAGGTTTAAACAAGGGGTAAGCATCTTAACCACTGAACTGAAGGATAAAGAGGTTTGGAAGTATCTTCACCACTCCTCAGCCTTCAGATAGCACCAACATCAGCTTGCCAGGCTCTTTGGAACTTCTCTGCTCTGCTCTTTGGCTCCTGCAAATTAGGAGATATCCTGTCCCCCATCCCCAACATGGGCTCCGAAGCCCTCAGGCAGAGGTCCCTGCTCCTCATGGCATGTTCTCAAGCTCCAGTCAGGGAAGAGTTAAGCAGTGTTTTTGTGTGTGTGTCTATGAGAAAAAGTTTGGATCAGAAAAGTCTCCCCTGACTTGTCACTCTGTTTTCCTCCTTAGATAGTTCCACATGGTTGGAGGAAGCAAAATGTCCAGCACCAGCTCCTCAACGAGCTCCTCCTCCTGCTGTTCGCACACACATGGGAGCTGCAGCCCTGGCACTTCTCGCTCTTCCTGGACATCTCCCGGGCTGCTTTTCTGGGCAACGGCCTCATCGTCACAGCAGTAGCCTGGAGCCACCCTCTGCACACTCCCATGTGCTTCTCCCTCCTCAACCTTGAGACCATCTCCACCCCTACCCCCAAATGTGCTCAGGGGGTGGTGCACACATGCACAGAGAGCTTGAGCGCACTCGCTGCTGCCATCACGTGCCCTCAAAACGCTGCTGGAATGGTAAGGGAGGGACATACGTGCAGTGCACTTTGGTGCGCTCGCTGCTGTCGTCGCATGCCCACAGAACGCCGCAATGTTCTCTGCCACGCTCGCTGCTGCCGCCGCAGGCAATAGGTACTGCAATAGCAGGGGTGCCCACCAGCGCAGTGTGCCATGCTGCTCTAACTGCTGCCATCGCGTGCCAGGAAACTGGCACCGCAAAGCTCAGAGAGGGGAGCGCATGTGCAGTGCTCTGCGCGCTCCGTCCCCCTCGCTACTGCCAGCGCGTGTTGGAGATTCAGCGCTGTCATAGCAGTGGGTGCACACGTGCACAGTTTGGTCCAGCGCACTCGCTACTGCCACTGCGTGTCCAATGGTACTGGAACGATAAGGGGGCACGGCCAGGCATGCGCAGGGTGCTCTGGCACATTTGCTGCTGCCGTCGCCTTTCCACAAAAAGGAACAGGAACGGGGAGGTGGGGGCGTGCATGCACAGTGTGCACGGATTTGCACTGGGCGCAGTGGTCTGCACTGGTCTGTGATGCTGTGTATTGGTCCGTACTGGTGTGTGCTTCTGTACTGCTGTGTACGGATCTGTACATGAGTGCACTGGTTTGTACCGGTGTTTTGTCGTGTACTGGTGTGTACTGGTGTCCAATGGTGTGTGCTGTGGTGCAGTGGTGTGTACTGGGTGTGCACGGTTTTGCTTGTGTGCACTTACCCATGCTGGTGTGCCCCAGTGTGCACTGGTCTGTACTGCTGTGTAGTGCTGCGGGCCGCTGTGTACCAATGTGAGCTCGTGTGCACTGTTGTGCACCGCTGTGTGCTCGTCCTGCTGTGCACTTGTTTGTGCTGCTGTGTACTGGTGTTTAGTCTTGTGCAGTGGTATGCATGGGTGTGCACTGCTCTGTATGGGTGTGTGTGTGCTGCCGTGTACTAGTGTGTGCTGGTCATGTGCATTTGTGTGTACTAGGAGTTAGAAATTAGACAGCAGGAACATGACAAGACCACAACGTCCCATGGTAATTCCCACAAACAGCTGAGGTTCTGTTTACAAATGCAGATGATCTGGACTTTAGCAGAAATACTTTCCTTAACTTTTTTTTTTCCCCATGGGAAAAAATGAAACTTTCCTCAGCTAGGAGGGAAGGAGACCCTCTGAAGGGCTCTCCTGCTACCTTAATAAATGTCTGTGGGTTCTTTCCTCTCAAATGCTGTGTTTCTAGGGGCTCCCTCTCTGATGAATCAGCAGTTCCAGGAGACCACAACCCCGCATACCACATCTTATGAAATGGTACTTCTTGGAACAGAAGAAGAAATGGAACTCCTTGGGTCTGCTTTAAGGCAGGCAAGTTAATGGCACATTATCAAATGCACTGAGGTCACCAACCTCCAACAGATGATCTGCTTGATTTCAGTCAAAAAAAAAAAAACACAGAAATCTGAGTGCTCCAAGCTGGAAGCAGTAGGTCCAGCCATCCACAGCCCAATCACCTACTGATCAAGAGATCTAGATGGACTGGAACAACCTCCTCCACGAGCCAGAAAAGAGAAGGGGGCGGGAAGGTGGGAGGAAGATTTTCATGTTTCATCTACCACTTTTAATAGGAAACAGAATGTAGTGGGGGGTTGAGAGGAAAATGGCAAATCCCTGGAGCTCCCACGTGTTGGCCTCAGAAGTCAAAAGTGTCAATCAGTGTCCCCAGCAGCACAGACTGTTAGCAGGGAGGGCACCAAAGAGGGACGGGCACGTTCAGCCACTAGGTGTAACTGTTGCTCCCTGAAATGTGATGGGAGCCACCACTTCAGAACAAGCACAGGGACAGACAGGAGCAGCATCGGCTACAGCTGAGGCCCGAATTTAAACAGAGGGACCCAAACCCTGCGTCCGGACTTGTGCCTCGTTGCTCAGTAAACCTGAGACTCTTAGCACGCTGTCTTGCGGAGGCAGGCTGCTGCTCCCCGTGTTTGGGTTCTGAAGCAGGGTATTAAGCGTAGCGATTCAAATTCAACCCTTGGTAATTCCATTGGCTTTGAGGAAGGTGCGTGGGGAGAATTGGGTCTTTTAGGGCTTCGCTGAGCTCATGTCCATCAGTCAAAAACGCTTTGGTCACTGTTTTGCCTGGTTCCCTCCCCTCTCTGGGGACTGAAACCTGGGAGGTATCTTAATCGCGGGTGCAAGTCATATAACGTTTCTCTGCTTTTACTTCTCCAAACATAACACGGAAATAGAGATCTCAATCTCCTCTGGAAAGCATGCTGAGGCCATGAATCAGAACTGGGTATTATTCCTCTTAATGCAGTCCTTGATGATCTGAACCAAACAAAAGCTTTTTTGGCGTGAGTTTGTTCTCCTGCTACGCGAATATATTTGCTGAGAAAGATTGTGGACTGACTGCACACAGCTCCTGGGCAGCCACTTCGAGGTGAAAAAGGCTCATGATAAGCAGCAGCCCTCCTCTGCATCACTCTCAATGTCCTGCTTCAGTTTGGTCTCCCTTCATAACTCTACCAGAACTTGATCCATAGGACAGCCATGCTTTAACCCCCCATTTATCAGACTACTTCAAACCTATCCACTTATTCCTGTCCTGAGCTTCTCAAACAAAAAGTTTCAAATTTACACCAACATTAATTTTCTCCTTATTATGAACAGGCCACAGTACACGGACATAGGGGTTTCTTCCTTCCAGTCCTGCCCCAAAGTGCTCCCAGATGAACCAGAACAAATAAGCAGATGTAATGCAGGCCCCAGAAGGCCATTCCTGCACACACTCCATATGTGTCACGTACCCCACAACCACCACGCAGAACACCCACTCGGATGGAAGGTCTTTGCATGTGGTTGTGTTTCCAACCAATTCATTATTCGCGCACACGGTTTGATTTCGCTGCTCTAAGGCAGCTGCTTTGGTTCCCAAAGTTTGGAAACATTGTTACAGTGCATTAGGCAAAGTACCAGCACTAAGCCTCAAAATCATATGAAAGATTCTTTAAGTTGCTGTGCAAAATATAATGTAAACTTGAAATATTGTTCTCCAGTCTGAAAGTAGTTCACTGCTGCTGGAGTTTTCTCTCTGCTGTAGACTAGCAAAGAGCAAATAAGCGAAACAAAATGGCCTTGTTAATTTGAAATGTGTACTCTCACCAAACAGCATACCCGTATCTAACAAAACTTCACTTGTAAACTTAGGGCAGATGCTGTTAACATCAAATGTACTTGACTCAGGTGTCTCAAAACATCACTCTAAGTGGCCTGGTAGCTTAATTCTCACTTTCTAAAGTGACTTAAACTCCTAAATCACATGGATAAGTCTGAAAACTGCAGTCTTGGTCAATTGTGCTCTCCTTCAGCGGCTAATATAAACACACAAGGACCCTGTCTGACACTTCATCTAAAATTAATCAGAATTGCTTTCTGGGCAGCTGCACAAACAGGCAGTTTTACCATCACTATTACCTCTTGCCTCCCCACCCCCAACTTTTTTTTTTCTCTCTTTTTCACTGTTATCCACAAAAGGACCCTTTATTTCGCATTTCTCATCATATGCTTGTGGACGTGGCAACTAAACAGTGTGCCAACTAATAAGAGTGAGATTGTTGTAGGTTATTCCCCCTGGGTCACCTTTTCTGTCTTTTCTCTGGGCTTTAGCAGGTCTGAACTGCAGAAAACACCACAGCAGCAGAAAGCACTCACAGCAGCTTTGCCCATTTCTTTGTGAATCTGATCTGGAATCACATGCGGAACTTCCCAAGGAGAAAACACACATCCAGCCTGCCGCAAGAGAAGTCACTCTAACTGTAGGTGCCACTAACATTTTTGACATTACTGCTTTTGTCTCCCCAGGCTGAACATGAAGCAGCGCTGAGGTGCGAGGTAGGGCGCAATGGGATGTCAGTGTGCGGAAAATCTCGCTGTCAAGAACTGAATGTCCAAAAGGAGACAGAGGAGTCCTAAAACTTTATTCGAATAAAGGGAGAGTCCACCGGGCATATCCCTGTGGGGTCTCTCAAATTGCTGGGGGACGCAGCCCCCCTTTTATCCTAATTTCCCGACCAAGGGACGCCCTCTCCTTTTCCCCATTGGCCAAGGTACTCAGAAGTTACAGCCTTCCCGGCCGCCTACACCGAACTCCGGCCTCCCGCCATCTGTTCTCACCTGAGCTCAGCAACTCCTTTGTCCCCCTTGCTGAAGAATGTGGGGCAATTGCCCTATTTCCCTCCTTTGTAAAGGCCCCCATCTCCTTGCAGATGGCTCTTTTTGTCCCACTTGGCTCATGGCTCCACTCAGTCTCCCCTCCCTTTGTCCTGCTCTTCAGGCAAACTGTGGAGAAACCCCCTTATTGATGAATACAGAAACTTGAGCATTCCGCTCATCAGCCTGCACCGAGCAGGGCCGAGCCCCCCTGTGCAGGGGACATGGCCGGACGGGCCTGCAGCGGGCAGGGAAGCAGCATGGCCGCAGCACGAGCCGAGCGCCTCTGCCTCACGTTTATTAGTAGCCTAAACAGTAAACATTTGTACCATGGCAGCGCCTATGGCTCCTATTTGAAAGCCACTCTAAGATCACTGTTGCACCTGGGCACTAAACAGCTCTGGGGCGGCACATCTGCCTGCCACATGTGCTTGCGAGTTTTATTTTTGGTTGATTTTAAGCTTTAAACTCCACTTTTACGGCCGCGGGGCAGAAGCCGCCAGCGGGAACCTCCTCCCGCTCTCCCCTCCCGCGCGCGCCTG